GTACAAGATTAGATATAGCCTACACGATCAGTAAACTGAGTAGATACACAGGTAATCTAGGAGCTGATCACTGGAGAATAATAGTAAGAACACTAAGGTATTTAAGATATATTCGTGACTATGGACTACATTATACTAGATATCCAGCGGTCATCGAAGGATACGGTGATGCTAATTGGATATCTAATATAAAAGACTCAAAATCCACCAGTGGATTTGTATTTACATTGGGAGGTGCTGCCATATCGTGAAAATTCTCTAAGCAAACAGTTGTAGTCAGATCTATGATGAAATTTGAGTTTATAGCTTTAGATAAATGTGTGAAGAGGCCGAATGGTTGCGCAACTTCTTAGAGGATATTTCAAAATGGTTAAAACATGTGGTAGCAATTTGCATATATTGTGACAATCAATCAACAATAGGAAGGACACAGAGTAACATGTACAATGGTAAGTCCATACATATATATCGTAGACACAATACCATAAGACAACTACTCTCAATTGGAGTTATCACTATTGACTATGTAAGGTCAAAATATAATATTATGGACCCGCTAACCAAAGGGTTAAATAGAGAGTTAGTTGGGAAACTATCAAAAGGAATGAGATTTAAGCCTTTGAATGGATAAGTAATTACAAAGGAAACCCAACCTAGTTGACTGGAGATCTCAAAATCTAGGTTCAAAAGGACAACCTAATTGTAAAGACTTAATAAAATTACTGTGGGGGTGTTACCTTCTGTCCATTCCTATAATGTAACAGTGATGCCCATAAGAATGAAGAATAAGCAATAGGTTTTTAATGATTCTTATGTGTCGAAAATTGAGCAAAGTAATGCGGGTTATTTGTAATAAGAAATCACCTATGTGAGAGAGAAGTGAGGCCGCTTCTAAGAGAATTGTGTGGGACTCAATTCTTAAGAACTCTCATAGAACCAGACATACGTTCATTGTCAAAACAAATATAATAATGATAACTGAATTGTGTTAGGAAGAATCATGCGTGGAGTATATCATCGTTTACATAAACAGCAGAATAATTCAAGGACAACACATCTACTGGTCAGCTAGTTAGGTAAATATACTTTCACAAGGGAAGGTTCAAAGGGTAATACCTACCTATCCTATACAGGCTTCAACCGTTGAATTTTATCACCAAGTCTTGTGTCTCTCCAAATTTTCATTCATGTAGGGGATTGATGGAAAAATGAATAAATGGCTCACTTTTGGCAAAATTTTTTGTGGGACCCGTTGGTCCAATTTGGAAGATTAAATTTGATCTGTGTTCTCCTCCGTGAGAATATCAAAACCATATATTTGCTTGTTAAAATTGATAAATGAGAAATTGGAGCTCAAAGATGACCATTGAAAGATGATTTATGTGAGAAAATAAGGTTTGTCCCACATAGGAAAAATATGAAAGCAATAACCACTTTAAATTTGGTTGCACATTGAAATGATGTAATCATGTGTAGTATAGAGACTTTCTTCACGTGGTGCATAGGGGGGTGCAAATTATGATCCGAAATAGCTTTCGGACCTTGAACTTGTGTGCGGGCGCGATCTGCGTACACGAATGTCGGACCAAACTGAGCAATAATTGGTCCATTTGGAATGTCCACGTTTTATAATTTTTTTCTTACTTTCTCCATTAACTCTTGAGTTTTTGAAACTGCAGAAATGATGTAACTCCAATGGTTAATAGACAGATTAAGTCTATATAATTAAACTCAGTTTCCGATAATTTTCACATATGAAAATTGTCCTTTTCCTCTCTGCACTGTTCATAAAAATCACAAGCACTTTCTGTCCCTGTCCAATAAGGTCGTTGTGGTGATATTGTTCAGGCGCTAGATCAGTTCGCTAGAGTAGTTTCTATAGTGCTTAGATTTTACGAATTTTATCGTTGTATCCTGAAAAACAGACGTTTGGACTAGACCTCAAGCACTTATAGTGAGGGAACGAATCTATTTTAAGAAAACTGTGCTCGCACAAGCTCGGGTTGAAAATTTATTTATTTTCTGCAATTTACATATTTGCAATTTATTTGAAGTTTAATTCTATGTTTCGTATATTTTGTAGTTTATTTTGTTATTTGAGATTCATGTAATTTATAGATTGTTGTCTGTTCGTCAAAAGAAAAAAAATAAAAAAAAAGTAATTTTGCTAACAGTTTAATAAGTGCAAATTCGGAATATGTAAGATGTATATATGGTATTTCTATTTCTAAGTGCAAATTCTGTGCTATTTTAGTTATTGTATGAATTTAAATAGTATGTGCAAAATCGGTATGTGAAAATACGGTATATATGAAAAGGGTAAAGAAAATATGTGCAAATACAGTCAAATGCATATACGGTAGACTGTAAATATGGTAAGTTGCCTACAAATACGGTAAACTGTATAAACGGTATATTGCATATATGATATGCTTAAAATCGGTATCTAAACTATATATACAGTATGTGATAATCCGTTTCATTCACACCACCATATTCCAACATAATAATCGCAGAACGTTTCTTCCTCACCACACCAAGAATCACATATCCTTCAACGGACACTACACCCAAAATCACAACCTCCCCATTCTTCAACTGAAGGAGAAAGAGAAGGCATGGTGGAAGGAATCGCTGCAAAAGCTTTGAAACTTTGGAATATTCACTCGCTGTCAATTCCAGCAAAACGACACCAACGGAGGCCACTGCACAACAAAATTCAATAGGTGATGCCTTCGCTTTAGTTAGTGGGACTAATACTGAGACCAAACCGATGAATACTCCTTTGGGTACTAGAATCAGAACTTTGGCGAGAGAATCACACACTATTTCTACCTTCTGTTGTCGATTTTGATTTTGACTCTCTCTCCAGCAGTTTGATTTTTGATAGCGGGCTATTCGATGCATCACATTATGCATTTTCGAAAAAGATATAGTGGACGAGGTGGAGATATTTATTGACTTGTAAAACTGTAAATTGAAAAACAAATTTACCAAGAGAAAGATCGTGTTTATTAAAAAAAAAAATTAGGCTGAGCGAGTAGCACAATGCTGCTCGCCGAGAACAAAATTCAAGGGTTAGTTTGTTTAGGATTGGAATGGCTTTGATACCATGTCAATTATACTGAATAATACTCAATAAGACTCGAAGCCTCTCATTGTGAGAGGTTCTCTCATTAAACAGAACCAAATCTAACTAAATATGGTAAAAGCAATATATTTATATATGGTACAATATAATTATAATATAACCGTAATATTTTGTAATCTTCGATGATATTTGTAATCTTTATTTAACCTCATTAATAGCTAAAACCGAATACAAGTATGGCAGCCCAAGTAGGGAAGAAGCGTGCAGTTGTTAGGGACTAGGCAGGCTTGATAATTGATTGACGATTTTCGCATTCCAAGTGGACTCCACTTAGCCAAAAATCAAAATTTATTTATTGTCATTGCAAAAGTTCAATGACTAATGAAATATTAATTCGAAATAGTTTGTTATTATCAAATGACAAAAATATCCTAATATAATTTGTCATTCTGCGATAAAAAATTAAATGTTATTTTGAAAAATTTTCCAATAAAAGAATAAATTTTAAATGTCAATTAGATGGTTCGTGGACATTTGTGGCTCTCCATTGAACTTTTAGATGAATAGATTTCTTGGTACGTCAATTTGGGACTCCTAAAATAGGCTGGATACCACATTGCAACTCCATCAATAGACTGGGGACAAATGGTGAAGTTTCCTTCTCTTTTATACTTTAATTAAGGGCGTGTTTGATTACATTTATTTTTCGTGAAAAATATTAGTTTTCCATCCAAATTTTCACTTGGAGTGTTTGATTGTTATTTTTTTCCATGGAAAACATTTTCCAACTTTTGAAAATATGCCTAATTTTCCTTGTTTTTAAGGAAAATATTTTCCTTGGGTAGAGGTGGTTTTTATTTTCCACAAAAGATGGAAAATATTTTCTCTTCTAGGTAATATTTTCCATGTCAATTAAACACACTCTAAAGAATTTTGCTACTTGTACATTAAAAAAATGTACATAATGGTTTACATAATATAATGTGAAGAAAAAATTGATTGTATTTTAAAATCGACAAATGATAAAGTGTCATGTGATATTATGCAATTCATTATTTAAATCTTGATGTACATGTAGTAAAGACATTTCTTGAGGGAGAGAGAGCGCTTTATTCACTAAACTTTAAAATGTTTTTGAATGATCACTGAGTCCTGTTTGGTAAGTCAAAGTCAAAAGCATTTTTAACAACGTTTTTATGACTCAAACAACTTTTCAATCATATATTTTATCAATTTTTATCAAAATTTATTAAATATTTAATTTTAATCACCACCAAACAAAAGCTGAATTTTAATATGTTAAACTTCAGCATCTACTAATCGTGTTTCATTAGTCAATGAACTTTAACACGGTATACTTCATCAATCACTCACTATTTTCATTAGTCACTGAATTTATACTTATGACACACTTTAATCATTGAAATTAAAATGCCTTCGAGTGGTCACTGAATTTCATAATGTTCTCGAATAAAATTGATTTTACGTGAGATCCGACCTAACTCAAGAAAATAAATATCGACTAAATAATGAGATTCTCAATCTAAGACGAAAATATTGATATTGGACAAGAAAATATAAGTTCTTTAATAGTCAAAAGCTATGTTCAAGGGAAAAGAAGAATTCTAGCTTCAAATTAACATAAATTTTAATTTCGATCACTCTTTTTTTTACGTCGAAAAAATAAAATATGAAAATTATTTCTTTATTTCGATTGAGATTGCAGAGCCAAAGCAAGAAAATACAAAATTATATCCCAAATAAGTAGTGAAATTTTTGATTTAGAATTAATATTAATCAAAACTAATAAAATATAATTTTTAGAATCTCACTGTTACAACCCACATTTTTATCTAGTCAAAGTCAATAGTGGAATTTTCAAAGTCAAGTCCAATGAGGACTAGTATAAAATAAATCATTTTTATTGGGACTTGATTGACCAAATCATTTTATTTGGGTTTATTTCGCAATTGGCAAAATATGAAGGTTGAATTGGATATATTTAAAAGTTTGGAATTTATATATATACTTTTGGAAGTTTAAGGATTAAAGGTTACTAAAAAGTAAAGTTAAGGGACTTAATTTGCAATTATGGGATTGTGGACAATTAATTCAACCTTTGACCCATTTTTTTTCTCATTTTCACACCAAAACACACACACCACCTACGAGAAGCAGAACCAGCCGAGAAAGAAGAGAAAAAGAGGAAAAGAAAAAGGGAAAAAAGGAAAAGAAAAAGGAAGAAGAAGGGGAAAAAGAAAAGGAAAGGAGGTAAGGTTGATATCTTCAAGTTGGGTTTAATTTTTCCATTTGTCTTAGATGATTAAGTATGGTTTATATTAAAATTTTTAGGGTTTTATCATGTAATAATAAAATGTTAAATTTATGTGATATATGTACGATTTGGAGCTCAAGCTTAGGGATTAATTATGTTTCAATTTTAACAAGGTGTTTAGGCAATGAAAATTTTGGAAACCCTAGAATCCGATTTTGGGGATTTTAATTAATTAATTGTGGAAGTGATTATATAAATGGAATATTTCATTTTGGAGTTGATTTTAAGGAGTAAATGTATATTAGATGGGTGGAAATTATGGTTACTAGTTTCATTAAATTGGAAAGTAAAATTAGTTTTAACTTGGGAAGAAGGTTTTGTTGATAAATTAGTTATTAGAAAAGGGATTAGAAAGTGGGATTAGCTCCATTGATCAAAAGAATATTTGGGAATTCATTCGAGCATCGACCAATTTTGGTTAAGTATTATAGAAGTAAATTTTAAAGTTTCTTAATTTAATAGTAGTTGATTAGCCATCTTGTTATGTATTCCAGGTGGTGACGAGGAAGTTGGAAGAGCCTATCGACCAGTTTAGGTTCAGCTTGTGTTATGTGAGTGGATAAATTTAATTATTTTTTTAGAAATAAGTATTTATTTAATTTTGAAGTTACGTATTTTACAGTTAAATCATTTCATTAGCATGTTTTATCGATATTACGTATTTCAGAATATTTCAAGTTATTTTTAAAAACCACCAAAAAGTACCCATGTGATTTTACCTCGTCTGCACTGGTGTGAATGTGTTTCCACAGTGTATGACTTCATATGGTTATTTTACCCACTCTGCGCTAGTGTGAATGTGTTTCCACAGCGTATGATCAGTATAGTGATTTTACCCGCTCTGCACTATTGTGAATGTGTTTCCATAGTGTATGACCATTTTATAGCTCTGCGCGCGAATTTCAGAATTTCAGAATTTCAGAATTACAGAATTTCAGAATTTAATGACCTTGCTATGTATATCGAGATTAATCGATACACGAGTATGGTTATTCAGGGTACATTTTTGGTGTGATGTTTCAGTATTACATAGCTTATCAGATTTTAGAAATAGATTTTACAGTATTTAGTTGATTCAGTTGAAAGAATGAAGATTTTAATTTAACGTATTGTGAAAGGAAATTTTTACTATATACTAGTATTTAGAAAGGTGTTATAAATGTTAAAGTATGACCTTTACAAATATCCACTCACTGAGTCGCTAGCTCATATTTTTGTCACCTCATTTCTTATCAGATAGAAGCTGCGTTGAGCCATATCAGAGCCTGTCGTTCGACGAGTTGAGCTTCATCGTGTCCTTGTTTGTATGTCTCATTTTGTTAATTCATACAACATATATTTTGGGGGTTAATGTATTTTGTATCAAAAATGTATTAAGTCTCATACCCATTGCATATTTTGTGTATGTTTTGAAATGGTAAATTTCTTTTTCAGTACAACTCCTTGAAGAATTAGTATTTTGATGGGCTAGTGTACCCTATTTTAAAGTATGTGTATATGTTTGGGATTTTTGGTTTTATTCTCAGGTGGTTTTAGTCCATTTTTCAGAGGAAACTCTGCCGAAATTTTTATAAAATTATTACAGTCAAAGCATGTCAAGTTTGCCTTGGTGGTGGGTCCGACATTTAGCTGGTATCTACCATCGACGCACGACACGTGTCGGATCCATTAGGGTGATCAGGACGGGTCGTGTCACTCACTTTGTAAGGAAAGAAGAGTGTTATCTTGTGCACGTTAGTTTACCAACATTTACATCTCTACAAAACCAAGTAATGAAACATTTTACTGAACATATACGTATTTTTTCTTCATATTCTACATTTTCCTCGTTTTCTCCAAATAATTTCTTCTAATAGGGTTCAGTGTTTTCTCCATGTAGCTACGGCTAAGGTGACGTCATCCCATTTTTATATACTTGTTCTTTGAGCCTTGACCTTGTTAATGTTGCTTCTTTTTTTTTTTTCGCCCTCGTTTTCTCGTGAAGATTATTTTGTTTTGTTTTATTTGGTTATTTTCTTGAAAGGTTTTAATCTGAATTTACGATATATTTCTTCTTCAAATGCTGTCTATTTTGAGTTCAAGAAAAATCAGGTAAGCAGCCCAGATTTTGATGGCATGCAATGTATAATATTTATGAATAAGTCTGCATTTTGTCTGTTGAAATCTTTTCTGTGAAAGTTTCTGTATGCTTACTTTTTGGGATTTATTTACTTCATTGCCTTTGAAATTTTGAATATATTTATCGACTTATCTTGTGATCTTGAAAAATACGTACATTTTGAAAGATTCTTGTTGATTTTTTGATTAGCAGAGTTAAATAAAGGAAGAATGAAGGAGTGCAATATATCAATTCATAATTTTGTGATGTGCTCCTTTATATTGAACCTAATATTTAGATTTTTAACTCTGCTTCTTGTAGAAACATTTTAGTGTTTTTTTAGCCCAAAAATTGCCATCTACAATGATTTTTGAAGCTAATTTTGAGACTTCTCTTTTGATCTATTGAAACAAATTCCTTTTTATGGTTACATTTTTTGTATGTAAATGTAAATATGAAATATGTGCACATAGATGGATAAGTATCTATGTATTTCTCTACATATATTTACTCCAGTGTGCACGGGGACATAAATTTTTTGTCCATAAACATTTATATGAACCTATGTATTTACTATGTGGTGATTCTTTTTGTTTTTCAAGATTTGATTAGAAATGAATTTAAGTTTGTGGTTTTGATTCGACACTGACAGAGTTTTGGTTATTTCAAATTTCCTCCCAACTGACAACAGAGCAATTGAACATTTATTTTTGATATGCTAGCCATGGAGCTGCATCTGTATTCTCTTATGTGATGCACATCAAATGCTTTCACCTCCATTTCAATTTTTAGTCCTTTTCAGGTCTATTATTTGTCGGCCGATTCACCCTCGTATACAACTTAAATACAATAACAGTTTGTTGCTTTCATACTTTAAATCCACACAAAAATTACTCATTCTTGAAATCTGGTAAGATATTGTTTTAGGAGCATAATTAATCTTGTGGTCACCGATGATTCTGTGATAGCAACAAGAGTATGGGGACACCAAAATTTTTTCATAGTTTTTTTCTGAATGTCATGGTTTTGTTGCATTTCTGAATATTAATGCGTGGGTCCATATGTTTAATGCTTCCCATGCTGCTGTCTAGGACCATTATATATGGTTGCATATTGTATTGTACCTCTGCATTTTGTTGGCTACGAATATGTTTTTACAGATACCGAAAGTTTTCTCTATTCATATTATTAATTATTAACGTGAATCATTCTATTCTGTTCCACCTTTGTAGTTCAATATGCAAGCAAAAGCATTCTAATATGCAGGTTCTAAGTAAATCTCTGTTCAAGTAATTCTTTATTATTACTTTCACTACTCCTGATCTTGTTCTTGTTTGAATCTCCCTTCCCAAAAGACTTGTACATTTTGCAGGGTTCAGTATATACCACGAGATAATAGTCTTGAATTATCATGTTTACTTTCCATTTCTTAAGATTGTTTTGAATTCATCTGTTTTACCATCAACTGGTAGGCTATTTCCAATCCCTTGATTTACAAAGGGTTATTTTATACCCTTTTTTGGCTAAAATTCTCATCTTTCACTTAAAAATTCGCATATTATTCTAGATCTTATTCTTTAGATCATGTAATGTCATCTGAAGCAGATGTACGTGTGTTCCCAATTAACAACGACCACTTCTAGTATTGGAAATCATAAGCCATGAACTGTGTAACCAAATTATTGAGTTACAAATACCGAAGATTGAGTTACAACTACTGAGTACTGAATATCAACCCTGATTCACCCTTAAATTGTTATTATGTTGGTGTATTATACCTTCTGACTTCCGTTGATTAGATTCTCAAGAATTTCTTTATTTTCATTTTTATTAGATATATATCTGATTTTCGTTTTCTTGTTTTAGTGTATAGCTTTCTTCCTCTCTTGTTCATGATGTGTGACGTGTTTATAAGAGTTAGTTATCATCACAAATTAGTTGACCAGTTCATATTATTAGCTTATTCCTTTCTGGTTTTTATATGTTGAATTTTCTTGATATCACGTTACAAAACTTTTTGAAACTTTTGGTGAGATGCAGACTATTATATAAAATTTGTAATATGCTTGCCAACTTCTCAAACACACTATTTACAGTTATTTTTGTTGGCTGATCGAAATAATTTGATAAAAAAGAGAGGATGCAAAGGTAAGATGTCACCTGGATTCTCATACCTGTTTTGGTAGTCAATTTTCTTTTGGCTATTAAGATCATGTTTGGCAAAGCTTAAAATTATGCAAAGTAAACATGTTTGAGGTTTTTATAAGTTTCTTCTCTTTTGGATTTTCAGTACAAAATCTAATTTTTAGGAAGTCTTTTTTTACTGTCAGAAAAAGTAGATTTACTTTATTTTTCTTAAGTTTAACCAAACATGCTACAATTAATGCCTTCCTATGAATGTATTCAGGAATCTTCTGCTTGATGTTGATGGACTGCTTCCAAGCCAGCAGTGACAAAAATACTCTGAAGAGCTGGTTTTTCATTGACAAAATGGTTGTTGCAAAGAAAGAGATTCAGGTTTCAATTTGAGTAGTTTGCAATTATCTGTATTAGCTGCACTTAGTATTTGAAGGTTTATAGTCGGCGTAGGTCTGTATACGATGGACCTCAAATCAAATAATTCATCTCCTTTTTTGACCGATCCCGCTCCTATTCCCTTGAATAATACACAATTAGGCATCCACTCAGGTCTGCTGCCTTATTCACTGAATGGCTCTGCTTTCTCTACCACACTCCTTCTTACGATCCCGAGGAGAAAGTCTGTAATACTCGATGATCTTCGATCGAGCTTGTTGGATGCTATGATATTATCATCTCCTACTCATAAAAAATTAACTAAAGATTCTAGCACAGAGCTAACGGCGAGTGATAGTGATTTTGCTTATCGCAATTGGATGGTAATGTTCCATTTCTTCTCTTTTTGTATAGTCTCAAGTATTAAATTTATTATTGTAGGAGACATGTGTTCTTATTCCGTCTTGGTTTAGCTCAAGTATCCATCAGCGCTTGCGTCCTTTGGGAAAATAGCAAATGATGCAAAGGCAAAGAGAATAGCATTGTTCTTGGACTATGATGGGACTTTATCCCCTATTGTAGATAATCCAGATCATGCCTTCATGTCAAATGCTGTGAGAATCAATCTCTTGACTTTTTTGACATGTTTGGTAAGGAAGTTTAGACAGTACTGGACATGTCTAAGAAAGGAAATAAGCTAATATCTTTCCTATTGTAGTGTCAAGTCCTATGAAATGTCCTATGACATGCTAATACCAAACATGTCCTAGGCATTGAGGATACAAATTATTATAGTGTCAAGTCCTATGAAATGTCCTATGACATGCTAATACCAAACATGTCCTAGGCATTGAGGATACAAATTATTATAAATATGTCAGTTTTGTTCCCTTTCCCTTGACTTCTTTTTGAAAAACCTGATAAATTGCTTCCATATGCGTGACGCTGTTAGAAATGTGGCAAAATATTTTCCAACGGCAATAATTAGTGGGAGAAGCGGTGATAAGGTAATTATTTGACTTCTACTTCATTGTCATTGCGTCAATGTCAATTAGGTCCTGTGTGTGTCTTCTGACATGTCATTCTTTCAGGTCTTCGAGTTTGTAGGACTAACAGAACTTTATTATGCTGGAAGTCATGGTATGGACATCATGGGCCCTGCTGGGCACATTTCCAATGACATGCAGGTAATGCCATGAGATATCTTTCTGCTCGAATGCATGAGCTCCAGTTATTTTATATAGATAAATTTAATGTGCCCCTTATGAATTTACTCATGGTGAATGTAGGGTAAGGAGGTTAGTTTATTCCAGCCTGCGAGTGAATTCTTACCTATGATTGACGAGGTGTGTAAAATCTTCTCTTCGTTAGCATACAATGCATTAATGCAAGAAAATAACTTTTTATTCAGCATTGTAATTTCATTCCATTTATGCTCAATACAGGTTTTCAAATCTCTTGTCGAGGTCACAAAAGATGTAGTCAGGGCAAAAGTTGAGAACAACAGATTCTGCATTTCTGTACACTATTGTAATGTGGATGAGAAGGTATATCATTTTGTTTTTGCGTATTATTAGCTTGTTCGGTGAGGTGGACCATACAACACTTGTTGATATTAAGGCCCCGTTTGTTTCCCATTTTTGTGAGAATAAGAATGAAAAATATATTCGTTATGGGCTCCACACAAAAGATAGAAATTCAAATTTTGTAACTTGATGTGATGAATAACGGTCATATTTTTCATTTTAATGGTGTTTCGCGCTGATTAGTCGCTAACAATTAAAAAGGATCAGACGATTGTGTAAGGGACAAACTTCTTGAGATAAAGTCCCAAAAAGGGATTTTTTTTATTGGCGATGACTTTACAATTGGAAATTAAAAACAAAGTGCCTCCAAGGGCGCAAGCACATGAGTTACTGAAAAAAGTATTTTAGTCTAAGTTAAGGAAATTAAAATTACATGTTCTCTGTTCGAGAGTTTTTGATTCGATCTTTTGCTCTATGTCTTTTCTCCCTTTTATACTTCATGGATGATCTCTTTGTGATCAACCGCCTAAAAAACTGCTTAATCGTCCTATAACTGCCCACTTTCCTTGTAATGGCCAACTTGTCATGAAAACTGCCTTTTTTAACTGCTGCCATTACTCTTCGTCGTTCAACTGCTTTCGATTGAATTCTTTGAATCGTGGAACGTGATAGGGCTGCTTTAATAACTGCTTTAATAACTGCACTTCTTGATAACCACGACGCTTTATGTTTGTTAAGACCTTGGGCGACTTGAAGGTTTGGGCGAGAATAGAGTAACAGCTCTGGGCGACTGTATGGCACTCCATTCGCTCAGATTCTGGGCGACTTGCAAGCTTGGGCGATGGCGTTACCGCATTCTTGGGCCTCCCTATTTGGGCCTTCATCTTGATTTGTTTGATTGGGCTTCGTACTTTGGGCTATCTGATTTGGGGATCTTCCAATTGGGCTTCACTCTTTGGGCCGTTCGAATTGGGCTGAATTTTTATGTGTCAACAATTACCCCCCAATATGGCAGAATTAATAATAATTATTAAATTTTACCATATATACTTTGTATTTCCAGCAACATTCGAAATTCCCAAGAATTCATTGTTTTCTTCTATAACTTGAAAAGGTGCGTCGTTTTGCAAACCCTTATAACCCCCAAACACGTCATTTCACTGCACCACTAAATCACACCTCAAATTTTTTGCGTCTCTCCCACGATTTACTGTTCATCTTTTGCTTCCCTACTACGTAACCCTGAAAAACTTCGTTCCATCTCAAATGGCTACTTCACAATCTCAAATTGGCGACTCCTTTAGTTTTGATGACTTTCAGAAACTCTTGAGTCGTCCATACATAACTCCGAGTTTTCTCGTGCCCGTCGATGTTGAACGCAATGAGTTCTACTTAGGTCATTTTTCAACAATGCAGAGGCAGTTGAACAGGCGGCGGTGGGTCAGCTGTTTCCTTGTACTCAAGGCCCTCCATTTCTAAACTCTCTGCCACTGGGGCCACTTCGCAAAAGAGGTATTCGCACTTGGCCTAAATCTGATGTAGCTTTCCGTAGGTGGCATGCTCGCCTTGTGGGTCATGGTCCTACTAAGGCACTTTTTGATAGAGCTAGGATTTCTGATTTATTAGAAATCTCTATTCGCCCCCCTACTTTTGATTTAACACTCTTTTCAGTTGCTTTAAGTTTTTGGTCTTCCGAGTATAATACCTTTATTTTCCCTCTTGGCCCCATGTCTATTACCTTAAGGGATGTTGGGGCCCTGATGAATCTACCACCTTTGGGCGATACCATTTTTCCTAGTATCTTGATTTCTGGTGGCGCTCCAAAGTTTGGTAAAAACTACACCGAATCTTATTCAAGCCTGCAAACCCTTCACAATCATTCGAGCGCTGAGCCTTCCCATACTGAGTGAGTGACCTTCCTTCTAGTTTGGCTTTGTAAATATGTTTTGTGTGTGCCAAGCATAAAGCCCTCCCTGAGTTACTTACCTATAGTGCACGAATTGGCGCGTGGCAGGCCTTTGAATTTATGTTCTTTGTTTTTGGCTGCCCTTTATAGAGGCATGGTCTCTCTTCAAACTCAATTGAAGAATGATGCATCTCCCACTGGTAGTGGACCTCTTTGGTTCACTCAACTGTGGTTGAGATCCTATTTTCCATTGCTTGGTGCTCCATCAATTTCTCGCTCCTCTGCTAGCTGTTATGGGCTAGCCATGGAGCCCTTGGCTCCTGTAAATATGTCCAGAAGGGACATTTTTTCATTCTTTTATTCTTTGGATCCAATCTCTTCCTTTTTTCCTTTTCCTCATTTTTTGACTCCAAACTATGTACACCCCCCTTCACTATAGACAGCGCGAGCACCTCCCTGCTTATTTGGATCCAGTTTTTAACCGGAAGGGAGCTATTTCATGATATTTTAACTGGGACCAATGCCAAGGCGGGGGTAGAAATTTATGCGCCCCAATTTTTTGCTCGCTAACTTGGTTTCGGCCAAACTTGGCCTGTTCCTCCTTGCTATTCAAGGAACTTAATTGACCGTTTTCATACTATTAATAAGGCGGAGGCAGATGCTATAAATGCTCGCAATCTTCTTTTAACCAGCCATTTTTTATTAGCCCCTTTCAATTCTAGCCACGCCATTCACCCTCTTTTTAAACAGCTCTGACCGTCAGTGAAGCGCAGACTATTTGCGACTGACGCCAATCGTGCCTTTCATTCACTAGACCAGCCGAGCATTTCTTTCCCTCTTCCTGTTTTAGTCACTCCCTTGTCCATTCGGAGTCCTTCTCCTTCTTGTCGCACTAAACAGTCTGCTAGTCCATCTTCTTCTCTCCCTGCCAAGCCTACTACAGCCAAGAGTGCCCCAAACTGCAAACGGCCAGCCTCAACATCTCCCATTCTGGAGGATGTTGTTGATGATGATGATGATGCCCCTCTTATCGTCAGGAGGAATGTAATTAAATTGGTTTACTCACAAGCATACTTTTCCTTACTTGAAACTTTTCTTTGTGCTGATGATCTTTTGGACTTCTCAGAAAAGCTCAGCCTCTCCTTCAAAGGCTTTGGCATCGACAGCTCCTGCTCGATCATCCTTCGCTGAGGCTGCTTCATCCAAACCGGTTGATGAGGGGGCTATGCTTAAAGAGACATCTTCAGTCCCAGAGTCCTCATCACAACCCATGGATGAGCCACCTTCTTACCAGGGCGTCAACCCCCCAAACATCGAAGCAGAAGGTAATTCAGTGTTTTGGTGTCTTACCTTTGCTTGTGCCATTGGTTTCTGATTTGTTGCTCTTGAGTTTTGCAGATACTCCTATGAGTCCGCCCGTTGTGGCAACATCTTCTTGCTCAGACAAGGGGAAGTCCCCACGAATGGAGGAGTCGTTCGTGGCAGACTTGGCTGAGGACATGCCATCTTCCACGATTGTTGATGAGGTAATCTTTGCTTCACTTCTATTTCCATCTTGTTCGTTGTAGTGAGAATCTTTAATATTGGCAATTTTCTTTGCAGGATGCTGACAAGATTGTGCGTTCTATCCAAGACTTTTTCGCTTCCTAGGGGTAAGTCCAGACATTTCGCCCTGCTCCATCTGATCGTCCTGCTGCTTCTTCAGAGGAAGATTTGAAGTTCCTTAAGGAGTCGATATTTGAGTACGTGTCCTTCATGGATATGGACATTGGAAGGGCTAGTGCTGCCAGACACAAGGATAAACTTGAGCATTTGAATGCGAAGTTGGAGCAAGCACTGACGCTTCCGTCGCTCAATCTTTCTGCTGATTTTAAAGTAACGTTGAAGGTTATCCACTCCGAGGTCCTTTCTTTGCTGGCCAAGAATGTTGAACTAAAGGCCAAAAGTACTCAATATCTTCGAGCCGTATCTGAGAAATAGTCTTTGCATATGGAGATTAACAAGGCTGAGGACGAGTTGAAAGAAATCTCTTCCGAAGTCATGGTTGAAGACTCTTTGATGGTTAATTTGGCTGCTCAGATGAAGGAACTTCAAGCCAAAATGGACGACTGCAGGGTGAGAATGGCTGCTAAAAAGTGTAACGCCTCCCAGGGAATTGAGCGAACTAAGTCCTTGGTCGAGTAGTACAAGAATTTGGAAGTTGATGATGATGCCGCGGCCGAATTGAACATCACTTCCTCTCGGCAGAACGAGGATTGGGAAAAATTTAGGGAACGAATTCGTTCAGTATGGGGTGGACTGTAGTTAAGACATATGATGTCTTTTTTCTTTTGTAATTTGATTTTTCCTTTGTAACTTTGTTCATCATTAATGAACATTAACTTCTTGTGCATTTATTTGACGTTTATTTATTTTTATTTTTTTAGTCGTCAATTCTTCAAGCATTTAACTGCTTCGTGCCAAAATCTTGCCCATTTGCTTTTGATATTTTCACCACTTTTCCTAAGACTTTGGGCTATTTAATTCCATTTACTAGGCAGAAATGTGGCTGTTCATATTCTGTCTCTTCATCTCCACCCCCTATAAATGCTTCGCATTTTCTATCTTCCATCTTCATCTTCATTTTCTTCTTCGATACTAATTTGCTGCCATTGCTTGGCATTCTGACAATCAATCCAATTCGAAAATGGACTGTTTAGTCCGCCCATTTTACTATTTGCCTTGATGTCAACTTTGGTGTGGGAGGTATAGGAAATATTTTCTGGCCAGCAGCGAAGTTTTTACCATCGAAGTTCTTCCCATCGTCTCTTTGTCCTTTACAAGAAGTCGATGATAGAAGGCAATTTTTGGGATGCTTGCAGGCTACCTTGCTTGCTGAGAATGCTTCTCAGCCTCTTTGCTCGCCATTGCAGCGATACATTTAGGAAGGTGGTGAGGCCAGTCCACCCTTTTACTCGGCGATCCCACCATTGCAGCGATGCATTTAGGAAGGCGGTGTGAGGCTCACTCAGCGATCAACCGGGAGATTAGCTTACTTTTAATTGTATTTTGTAGAGCATCCATTATTTGTATTTTTGCATTTTTGTAATGAACGTTTGATAATAAAGGATTTCAT